AATAGAAGAACAAAAGAAGGGGTTTTATCATTGATTATGAAGAAATTGTGGAAGTCTATTTATAAATGGTCCATGGAGGAATGTTGTGTCATTTTTGTGGGGATGTGAGGATGAGGTCTACTCTTTGGAAGTTTTAATTTAAGGCAGCAAAGTTGAAAAGCAATTGAGAATTAGATAATAATGTTTGTTATGTGGAAGTTTGCATAACAATAGGCCTATGTTTGGCTCAATTTTTATAAATATTCAAACCCTTTTTTTATCTATATATTTTGTAAGATTCACAATTATATACCCCACGTATCAACCATTCAATTCTATATATATTAAACACTTATTGAACATGCTCTAAGATATTTAGCTCCTGTTTGGTGCAGCAAAAAATCATATTTTTAATCGATTTTTAAAAAAAGTTATTAATTGCTTGATTAAAAATTTTTTGGTCACATAAAATATGTGGTTAAATTAATAGTTGACTTTGACTTAAATTTTTATCAAAATTTTAAATAACACCAAATAGGGCTTCATATAATATCATAGTAGATAAATGTTGATTTTAAATTATGTCACTATCTATTTTCAAAAATTACTAATGCAACATATATAAATTGTAGAAAATAAATTTATTTTTCTCTTTAACAACTTAAGATTTTTCACATGGTGATTCTATATGATACTATAGTAGATAAAAATCTTGAGTTCCATTAAATCTCTGTACAAATTTTACAAATTTAAATTTGACATAAATCTAAGGGTGTTTTTAAAGATAAAAATTACTATACATAAATTTGTTCTCATTTTGAAACTCATATTTTTAGATTACAAATTTAACATATTAAATAGGGGTGTTCTCAACTGAGATTTAGACAGATTTTACAAATCCTTTTAAATTCAAGTGATCTCAATTGAAATTTTTATGAATTTAATGAAATCCATTAAAATCTAGGTGTTCCAAGTTAGATTTTAATGAATTTTAATAAAATCCTTTTATATCTAGGTGTTTTCAATAACTCAAGAATTTATAAGAATTTCATTAATAGAGGGTTTTAAAATATTTGGATAAATTTCAAACTTAAAAATACGTTTAACAAACTCTTTTGAAATTCCACAATTTTAATGAGATTCTTATGAATTTTGTGGAAATCTATTCAAATTTGTGAAATTCATTAGAATTATAATTTTTCAAAATCTATCAAAATCTCAATTGACGACACTTCCTAAATTTATACATAATTCAAACATCATTTGAGGCTGCTAACCAAATTTCATTAGAGCATTAAAATAAATGGCTTTTTCTTATCTACCGCAAGTAGCATGCATCAAAAAGGAATCATGCATGAGTACATATAGAACTGGTAAACGTCAAGGAGTTTGACAATTAGCTATCCACTAGATATATTTTTGAAGAGAGATGTGCTACTTGGAGTCGCATGCACCAAAAGGGAATCATTCAGAAGTATAGATTGAACTAGTAAACATTGACAATTAGATGTCCGCTAGATATATTTTTGAAGAGAGGCATGCTACTTGGACAGGGAGTTGTCCAAACAGGGGGCTGTCCAAGTAGAAAAATTCTTTCGAAGAGAAAAAATATTTAACCATCTAATCAATAATAGGGCTCCAAATTTTAGTATTTACCAAAATTTATAAATCATTTTTAGATGGTCAAATTTCATTTTCAATTGAATCATAAGTATTATTCATTTATTCATCACACCTATAAATTAAACAATTTATAAATTCTTGCTTAAAAATTCGTTACGAATGTCATATCATTGTATTAACCTTATCATTAATAAACTCCGTTTTCTAGCCATCGGTAGTGGTTGGTAGAAGGGTACTTCAAAAGACTACAAAGATGTTATTTTAAAAGAAAATTATGAAGAGAAATAAATAAATTTTAATTTTCCATTAAACAAATTCATCAATGTTTTATATTAAAAAAGAGTTCCTATAATCTGCACGCCAGTGTTATCGAAACATGACACTCTCAGATGTTGCCATCTAAACAAATTGTACAATATATTCATAATATTAGATCATGTTGCTTGAAATATGTTAAAATATTAATAAAAAGCTTTTTAATCAAAACAATTCGGCCACTGTTCGACCTCCATTTCTTGAATTCATTTTTCTTCAAACTTATTTTTACCACGCATTCTTCAAAAAACTCACTTTTACAGAATCTATTATCGTAAAAATCTCTATCAAATAGGAACTTACAAACATTGTTTGATAGTGGATTATCTTTACTCAATAATCAGTTTCCTTAAAGATTTTAAACTACTAAATAATAGACAAACATGTTACAAAGAGTGCAAAACTTATAAACGTGGCATAACAAACATTACCACAGTTGTTACATTTTATTTTCACAATCTGTATCTCTCTATATATAATGTAAAATAGTTCCTATAAACTGCAAGCAACGTTAAAATACATATACATATCAAACTAATGGCCCGTTTGATTCTCATTTTTATCAAAATTTATTTTTCACTATTCTTTTTAACCACACATTTATCATTAAAATAATATTACACGTAAGTCAAAAATATTTTCTTTTTTTTATCTACACATTCTCCATTAATCTACTATTCTAAAATTTATTTTTTCATAAAAATGAATATCAAACACCATCTAAAAATATCATTATTTTACGCTAAACGGATGACAGTTTTCGATGTTGTTATCCAAACAAATTGTATTAGACTTCATTAAATATATACGCACTATTGTACCATGATGAGATTGAACTTAATAAAATATTAAATTTAAGTAAAGAATTAAACAAAGCCCTAGTTAGACTTTCCCATAAATTCTTTAATAAACCCATTAATTAAGAAACTTGTTAAAAGTCTATAGAAACTAGATGATACAATTAATAGGAAAAATTTCACTATTCCTCCCCAACTTATTTCCTCGTTAGTAAGTTAGTTTCCAAACTTTAAAAAGAAATAAGTCCTTCCATAACTATTCATTATAGTTGCACGATTAGTCTTTAGTGATAGAAATTGTCCAAACCTTCTTATGAAAATATGTCTTGAAGCAGATTTTCAGGCACCAAGTCAAGCTGAGAAACATAGCTTAGCTTCATAAAATAAGGCGTGATGGTTTCCACTATTCAAGTGATTTTGCGATTGAGTAACTCGCTCTTGTTTAAAAATTGAGGACCAACTTTCTATTAATAATTCAATTTCACCTAATTAACTTATAGAATCCCGTGGAGCGTGATGGATTAGTTGTGACAAATTGCTAAATAAATTGTGGCCTCCCCACATTTCACCTAGGAAATATGTAATATCAAACCTAACTAAATTCAGTACAAAAATATGACCATTTTCGTAAAAATATGACGAATGATTTATTATTTTTATTTTATTTTAAATTATTATTATTTTTAACTTTGGATTACATTTACTATTTTCTTGTAAATATATAATGAAAATAGTGAAATTTTGATTCAACTTATTCACATGTTGCTAAGGAAGGCTCGAATTATTCAAAATTTGTTAAGTTGTTGACCTCCAAAAATGGCTCCTCCACGTGGCCAACTTATAGCTACTCCACGTATTTCTCCCTGCGAAATAAACAAATGGTCAAGCGCACACAGCCTGAACCGACGGGGGTGGCGGCGGCCGTATACACTCCGACGATCAAGTCAGGTTTGGGTGGTCGGAACAGTGCTCAGGGATTACACAAATCAATCAATAAAGGGGGAGGAGAATATATAAACTTGTTATGGAATGCTGTGTATTGAGAGTTTCATTACCTTTGCCTCTTGCCAAACCTTGGGTATTTATAGGTGGTATGAACCGTGGGATGTGGAACACGTGTATACATCTGACGGTATGAAGCGTCTGCTCATAGGCGTCAATCAGCCGCGCTTGTAGAGTGGGCGGACAGTTTGTTTCCCCCGAGTTGAATTGACATAAAGTTGATAAGTCACATCAAATAACCTCATGGGGACGTCAAATCAATTTAAACCTTAGATGCAGGACAAATCTTAAATTGGCGGCGGATCTTCTAACCGGGGTCCACTTGATCCCGATCGCTTCGGCAGATCAGTAGTAGGAATCGATATATCACTTCGGAGAAGCTTCGGGAGGGTCGGAGTAAATGGTGCTGCGTGGGGTCTACTTGATCTCGGCTTCGGTGGTAGATGGCACTTCGGTATCGAGGCGTAACAGTGGTCCCCCAAATCCGAGAATGAATATTTATATTATGCATGGATTTGTTTTCCTGACCGGGCCCCCCCTTTTTTTTCTTTTTTTTTTTTGGCTCGATTCATTGCAGAAGTCGAGGTTAGGATAATAGGCAGATGCGGGGCATTCGCGTCAGGTGTGTCCCAGCTTTGTGAAGTTGGAGAAAGAGCTCATCTGCCGTTGATGCACTGACAGAACAGGTCGACGCGTGGGGATAGCTGAAACTTTGTGAAGTATGGGAGGAAACGCAGCGACCGAGGCGATGAGCCAACGGGGCACTCGCATCAGGTGCGTCTAAGCTTTGTAAAGTTTGAGGAGGAACTCATCTCGCACCGATGCGTTGACAGGAAAAGGTCGACGCGGGGGAGATGGCTGGAACTTTGTAAAGCATGAGAGGAAACACAGCGACCGAGGCGATGAGCCAACGGGGCGCTCGCATCAAGTGCGTCTAAGCTTTGTAAAGTTTGAGGAGGAACTCGTCTCGTACCGATGCGTTGACAGGAAAAGGTCGACGCGTGGGGAGATGGCTGGAACTTTGTAAAGCATGGGAGGAAACGCAGCGACCGAGGCGATGAGCCAAAGGGGCGCTCGCATCAGGTGCGTCTAAGCTTTGTAAAGTTTGAGGAGGAGCTCATCTGAGGCGACCCAAACGTCCAATGATTTGACAACTGTTGCGTGTTTTCAAGGTGACAGTTGGGTACCATGCCCATTCTCCTAAAAGGCTACTGCGGCTAGTAATATTATTGACGGCTGGTTGTAACCGAGATGACGCGTTTCAATT